CATGCTGGCTGGGGAATTCTGGGAGTTGAAGTCCACCCATCTTAAAGTCGCTGAGGTTGAGAAACACTGTTTTAAGAGATGCTGCTTCTGCCCAGTTATTCACTATTTAGGAGCAAAGCCTTCCCACTGCCTGCGCGTAAGACAAAAGAAACCCATTCATTTTTTTTTTTAATCCTTCAATCCCAAGAATAAAAGAAAAACCAGCCTGTGGTCATTATGTAACGCCCCTACAGAAGATTACGCAGCCTGCAGGCTTTATTCACCGCAGGCTGACTCAAGAGTAAGTCCATTGATGTTTCCCTACACTACCAGAGGTTGGTCTGAGGAATCACCGTTAATGCACTGATTCATCTGCTAAACCTTTATGGAATTGCACCCCGTGTTACTCCAAAGATCGTTCAAGTCCCAGTTGACACCACGCACCAGACAGATTTGTACCTGGAAGGATGATCAAACCAGGTTCAACCCTAACCTACATACCCCTATGAGGGAACCCAATCCCCTAGGATTTTGCCAAGCTTCTTCCCAGGGAAGGGAGCCCAAGGAACATCTTTATCCTTCTGACCCTCAACCCTTCATCAGATCGGTGTCCGGCCACATCGTTTCCCAGGGGTCAAAGACTCGGCCGCATGGAAAATAAAGGAATTGTCCTTCAGAAAACTCACTAAAGCTTCATTTATTGTTTTTTTTACAGAGCAAATCTCTAGCCCATCCAGCAACGTTACCGAAGATGCCACCAACAGACCTCCCTTTGTGCCCCAAAAGTAGAGGAACAGTGTGGGTCCCTCTACCTTTTCTCCAGATACCGAAGCTTACATCAACGTCTCCATCCAAGCCATCTAGAAGAATCCAGGTTGACAAAGGTGGCAGGGCTAGTTATAGCAAAACGAGGCATTCACAACCCCAGGGAAACACAATTAGCTACTTCAGATTCACTTCACACACACCCTTTCTCTGCTCAAAACCTGCAAGACGACTTCGCTTTCCAACAGCGGCGAGCTGTCAAAACACCCCTATCTGCTATTCACAACTCAGACAGGATCTGCGGCAATCGGAGGCTTGTTCACAAGAGCTGACGAACCCCCGGAGCTGTGTTGGTGTATAATGAGCGACGGAGCGGATGAAGTCCTGCTTCCTGAGCCAAGGAAGTCATTTTCTTTCCATCTGACCTTTCGCTAAAGCCCCTCTGCTTCATTTCAGTAAGAGTTTGGCCAGAGGCAGAAAGGAAGGCCAGGCGCCATCCAGGAACACATTAAGTCAAGACAATTAGATTTTTATCTTGCTATTTATCAGGAAGGGTCAAAAAGATGCCTTAATCCTTGGCCTTCTTAAGCGGCCTTCGCAAGGCAGCCATGGAGAGGTTCTCCCAACGAAGATCTCCAGAAGTTTCCACTGGACTTAGTCATGCCCAGCCCACCAAATACGGGAACCGCCCTGAGTTGGTTGGGCCATTGGGAAGTCCAGCTGCTGGGAACGAAGCCAAATTAAACTGTCTAAAAGAGGCCAGATCTAGGAGATGTGAGAATGGCCTCTTTGGTTCAAACCAGGAGCAGAAAAATCCCATCGTTGCAACGCCAGGTAGACACGCCTGGACCTCAACAGCAAGAAACTTAACAGCCTGAGCAAGTCTGAGTCAACGACAGGTTAGTGAGAAGTTTCCTCAGGAACCTTTATCTAGAAAGGATGGACTGTTTTCCCTTATAAGTGCACTTATAAGCACGGTTCTTGAGTTACGATGGGGAAAGACCTATGAAAAACGTGACTCATAAAGAGGAATTAAAGGAAACTTAAGCGCTCCAGCCTCTCGATGGCTCAGGAAATTGGTCCACCATCCCGACCCGTTATTTGGTGGGAAGACAGACTTTTCTCATCCAGCAAAGGCACCGATATGGGAGACCTGTCCAATAAAAATAGCTACATGGTGCTCACAGGCCAATCCCTGGCACGTGCTTTCAAGAATGGGGCAACCTCGCCTCTGTTTTTGAAAATTACTGGCGGTTTGTCTCGGTCGGCCCCCAGCATCCAGTTCACAAGGGGCCCCCTTGAGCCCAGAAAGTGCTAAAAATTGGGGGGAAGGAGACAGGCGATATTTTTGCAAACTTTTACTCTAAGCCCGCTGAGAGAGGGTGGGCAGATGGTGCCATTTTGGCTACCGAAGGACGGGAACCAGGAACTTGGTTTATTTTGGAGGAAAAGAAAAGAAACCTGACTTTAAACCCCACATTCCAGGTTCCGAGCCAAGCCCTCTGCAAGATGGTGCACGTTTAGAGAAACTACCCAACGCCATTCAAAGTTGTAACCGGTCACGTTATTCTTTTTTAAGTTACCCTTTCTTGCCTCCTAATTTCAGCTAATGATTTTGGTCTGTCGCTGGCTGAAGCGTTCTGTTGATTTTTTTTTTTTTTAAGTTTCTTTCGTAGGATCGATAAAAACGAAGCCTGTAAAAACAGATCAAAATTATTGGAATGGGCCCCATCCAATAAACCTTTTTTCCAAGGGGGCGAAGCCCTTAGAAGTCTGGATATGGGTGACAGGCACTGAGCACGAAAGAGCCAGCGCTCTGTACGCGTTCAGAGGTCCTTCGACTTTGAGACGCTAGTCAAGGACAGGTGAGGAGGAGGAAGGGGGTGTATGAAATGAAACCCAGAAAGGGGAGTGGGGAAAAGCGAAGGAGGTCAGCTATATTTTCTGCTAAGCTTTAGGAGATCACTGACGGGCACTGAGTCTTTGCTTTAAGAATTCCAGGAATCCGGGTGGGAAACTGCAGATAACTAAGGAAAAAAGCGGGGAGGAGAATTACAGACAAGCAGCAGCCACTGTGTTTACAGGAGACGACACTATCCAGGTCTATTTATCAGCCCAGTTTTAAGGAGGGGTGAAATTCCTGGCGTTCCGCAAACCATCTTTTC